TATATGCATTATTCTAGGATCACTTTATCTGTGAGGATGGGTTCCAGGCTGACACATGCCTACACATGGAGAGAGTTGCGAAGAAAAATCTCCCGGGCATGCATGTTGCATGATGTGCACTACAAGTCCGTGACTAGATTTTATGGTAGGGGTGAAAATGGGAAGCCGATAATGAAGCGGAAGGAAGCGGCGACACAAATCTGGAGCGGAACCAGTACTTGTCAGTAAGTAACATCACTGCTTGCTACTACTAAGATTACCATTGCTTGTTTCTTTTCTTTGTCATATACACATATGATGTATTTTTCTATGTAGGTGAGAGAGAAATGGATACCAGCATATTGTTGGGAGAGGTTGGCGGATATGTGATGCACCCCAATGTGGCAGGAGCAACAAATGAAGGAAACAGATACTGATGCAGGGCTGACACACGTTCAGGATAGCCACAACCTGACAGGAGGCGGGAACAAGGATGGCCACCACTACCTTGTCGATGGCTCAATCTTCACTCCTCAAATCCCGAGTATTCTCAGCTCCACGTACAAAGCACAAGCTCAAGTGTTTTCGTATGGAGTCGCCTGATGTCTAGTGCGGCTGTGATTGTCATGCTCCAGGTGTGTACCTTTCATACCCATATCTTTACATTCTTGCACTACAACATATTCTTGACATGTGCTTGATGACACATCCTACTATAGCGGTTGTCCACGGTGCAATTGTCACATGGGTCTGATATATTTCGATGGAACCTATATGGAAATGGTCAATTCTCAGTGGAGTCTATGTATAAAGCGTTAATCCATTCTGATGTTTCAGTTGATAATAATAAGAAGATCTTGAAGATAAAGATACCTCTGAAGAATAAAATTTTTGCATGGTATCTTTGTCGCGGAGTCATTCTTACTAAAGATAACCTTATTAAGAGAAATTGACATGGAAGTCCGCAATGTGTCTTTTGTCATCATGATGAGACAATAAAACATTTGTTCTTCCAATGCAAATTAGCTCGTTCTATATGGTCAGTCATCCAGATAGCTTCTGGCTTGTATCCTCCTTGTATTGTTGCTAATGTATTTGGCAACTGGTTACATGGGATTGATCACACGTTTAGAACACTTCTTAGGTTGGGAGCGCTTGCCGTTATTTGGTCGTTTTGGCTATATAGAAATGATAAGTTTTTTATTGATAAAAGTACTTCTCAGCTGCAGGTTATCTACAGATGTATCGGGACTCTTCGTCTATGGTCATCTCTGCAACGCGTGGAGAATCGAGACCTATTTACGGAGGTGTGTACACGATTGGAGGATACGGCGAGGGATACTTTTACCCCAACATGCGTGGCAGCATGATCTTAGGATTGTCCCACCTCCGCTTTAGGCGTTATACGGACCCTACATATTTCTTAGTATTTCATCTTTTTATTTTTCTTTTATGCGAGAGGACTTTATTTGGTTGTGTGCATCTTAGTTGTGCAGAGACCGGGTGTAATGCTTAAACCTTTTAAGTAATAAAGCGCCCCTTTTCAAAAAAGTTGGAGGCAGAAAGAGCTGCACTAGATAGAGTTGGCGAAAGAAATGAGACAAAGTGAGGAATCCAAGAGAAGGAATGAGGCAGGAAAAAAGAACCTTCAAGACCAAGTAAAGGTTAGTTCTTTTCCATACATTGCCTACAGTATTATCCGATAAAATTCTTTGCCGACAATGCAACCAAAAATAACTGTAGAATTTTTTTGACCATCTCGAGG